GTTCTAACTCCCAGTACTACAGAGTATGAATGCATTTGAAGATAGGGCCCTTAGAAAAGGTAACTAAGTGAAAAATGAGGCTGTTATGGTGGGCCTTATTCCAAGTTGGCTGGCAGAGGGGATTAAGGACATAAGACAGATGCTCAAGATGTGCCTACACAGAGGAAATGTGGTAAAATGCACTGTGTGAAGACATGCATGGTGAGAGGTGTGCATTGGCAAGCTGAGGAGAGGCTTCAGAGGAAACTCACCTGCCTGAACCTTTATCTTGGACTTCTAGACTCTGGAACTTTGAGAAAACAAATTACTGGTGTTTGAACAACCAGCTCTGTAATATCAGTTTACGTCAGTCCTAGAAAATTAACACACCATTTTTTTGCAGAAATGGTAAAATGAATCCAAAGTTCTTATGCGATTACAAGGGACCCCAAAGAGCAAAATTGTTTATGTCCTAGAGTTCTTAGATTTTCTGCCAATTTATTCTTCTGTTTTTTTCTTTTTGCATTTCAGTTTGGGAAGTTATTGTTGATGTATCTTCATGGTAAATGATTCTTTCCTTGACCATCATGGATACGATGGTTAATTTTACATGTCAACCTGACTAAGGCATGGGATGGTCAGATATCTAATTAAACATTGTTTTTGAGTGTGTTTGTGGGGGTGTTGCTGGAAGAGATTAGCATTTTAATAACCAAGTAAAGCAGATGGGCCTCCCAATATGAGTGAACACTAATAAATCTTTTGAGTGTGCACATAAAGTAAAAACATGCAGAAAAGAAGGATTTAGGATATTTATGCAGACTGTTTGAACTGGTGCATGGATCATCTCCTGGTTCTGGTTCTCAGGCTTCAGACATGGTCTGGAATCTGCACAATTGTCTGTGTGGCTCTTAAGACTTCAAGTCAGATCACTGGCTTTTCTGGATCTCCAACTAATGGAACTTTTCAGTTTTCATAATTATGGCAGCCAATACTTTATGATAAATCTTTTATAATAGATTGATATGATATGGAAC